TTCTGCACACTTCCTGTTGTGTTCTCTCTTTGGGGGCTCACATGAGGCGTAGCAAGACGGCGAATATTTTGGCCTGGGCTCCGTTACAACAATTTGGCGACGCATTGCGCGGCAATATCTCGGCCTGGGCCTCCGTTATAACAGATTCAAACCAAAACCCACTTGAATTTCTCACCTTACAAAGCATCTTCGTCAATGTTGGCTTATAATATTATCATCCAACATGAGATCAATGCCTGAAGAAGTTAACAGCCCGGAGACTTTACCAAGGAATTTAGCCAAACCGTAATGGGAGACATGTCGCCTGTTCCTGAAGCTGATAAGCCCAAATGACTAACAAACAGCCGATAATTCATGACCTTTTGGAGAAGATGATACACAATTTACACTTGTTGGAAGAAAAGACCTTTACAGTCGAACAACTTTCGACTCTCGATCAAGTGAATCACTCGGAATAATGTCGAGGTAGAACCCCGAAGCCAGATGGTTTGCGCTTTGGTGACCTCAAAATCAGTAGAAAACGAATGGCTTCGTAGTGGAAGAAATTGTCAGCTCCCTCGATAATCTGGTCTTAGTCCTGCTTATCACACAGACAACACTGATTTTCACTGGAGAAGGTGAAACGTGCAAAAATCAGGGAGTGCGAAACTTCTTCTAGAGACTCCGAATTTGCAACTAGGCTTGCTGAACAGCAATAAATTAGGAACAGGGAGGTCTTCGGGTGCACCATATTCAAGGCCAGGATGAAGTCATTGGACAGACACGTTCCGAAAGTGTTTCAAAACTTTTAAAATAATGCTTCACAGCTATGTTAGAGCTCATTGTTTGGAAAATAAAAACTTTCCTATGTAAGCCGACGACTGTCGAGAAGTTTAAGAACTTGCATCCGGGATATTTGCCAGAAGTGTGCAGGAATTATAGTGCCCGGTCTGCCCTAAGCCCCTCCTTGCTATATAAGCGAAGCAATATTTTATAAGCCGTAGGGATCCACATTGCATGCAAGTGTTCGTCAGCAATGAAGATGAGAGACGGACTACGAATTAGACTTCGAATTTTGTAATAGGGGGTTTTAACAGATTTTATTAGTTTATTCGATCCACTTGTGAAAAACTCGGCGGCGTCGGTGGGGTTCGAACGCTGCCAGCAAACTAAAGGCTTTAGTACGGCCAATGCTCCAACCATCTGATCTACGAGGCGCCGCCGGGAGCCGTGATGTTTACCAAACTTGAATCAACGTACTCGCCGAGCCTACTGAAACGTATGAAATCCACAAATTCTGATATAGTATGTTGCCCGCCCAAGGAATTAATCTAAAATCCACCAGATGACTACTAGGCTTAATTAGTTAGTAGGTGATTGTACTGGTGGTAGACTTGCCTGTTAACACTTGGCAGGGAGCTAGGCAGGGGTGCTTGTAGGGCCAATCTGTACAATAACCGCTTGCTTAAAAATTTAAGTAGGGGTGAATTTCCACAATCTTCCAGTTTTTCGTGTGCCCGCCGTTGGTCCAGTAGGGATTGATGATGATATTGAACTGTGGGGGGGGGTCCTCAGAAGGCCAACATCTACAATAACCGCTTAAGTCAGCTTATTAGGCAAACGGACTTTTCGAATTAACCATGGGAATAACCGCTTAATTACAAATTTTAAGTATGGTGAATTTCCACAATATTCCAATTTTTCCCTTGACACCGCTAATCCAGTTGGGGTTGCTGATGCTATTAAAAAATATATCTCTGTGACCTCGCCCAAGGTCAACGAACACTCCCTAACATACACACGTTCGACATTGGTCCAGTAGTGGTTAGTGATGATATTTAAATGTATCTCAATGATCCCGCCCAAGGTCAGCGAACACGCCGCAACTTACACGCGCAACTTTCTTAATTTACATGGTTATTGCGCTCTGATTTGTCCCCCAATATGCCCCACCCATTCTACCTCCTAAAACCAGGCGCCCATATTAGAGTGGAGCGCGCTTCGCGTCTTGTGGTTCATTACTTCAAACTTTAAGAAAATTTAAAAGGTTTCCCTTTAAATAAAGGTGCCTAAGAACCATTGAGTGATCTTCCTAGGATGACCCTATTATGAGATCTCCCTATATCGCAGTGCTTTAAGAGTGATTAAATAACATGATTTCAGTTTTGTCCTGCATGAATGCCGCCTATAGGAACGTCCGTTATTCCAAAGTGGGTTTTTTCTAGGCTAACATTAAATAAAATATGCTTCCCCAAGAGGATCAAAGAAATTGAAAGCTTCGCTATTAAGTTCAGCTAGCGAGTGGTCTTGTTCGGATTGTTGACAGTCGTAACCCAAAGCCGGCTTGAGTAGCAAATCTGTATGCGGGGGATGCAAATAAAGTTATACCGGACACACGTTGCTCACATTCTCAATTCACATCAATTTCGCCGGTGGTGGTCTGAAGCCTAACGCCCAGTCTAAGGCGGGTACAGCATTCGATAGGCCACCCGAGTAAACAGTTAATTAAGTGAAGCAGTAAAGGGCACTGAACATCTGGGTTGGGGATTTATTCACATAGTTTTCTAGATCTTTGATTATGTGTTTATACAAAAATATGGTTGACCTCAGCGGCAGTGGTGGTGCATTTAACGACGTTAAAGTATACACAAATAGGTATGCAAATATCCACCACGGCGAAAAATGAGAGAGTGTCAGTGTGGATGAGATGGAAAGGAAAATAGCGAAAATCGGTGTTACTGGTGTCAATAAACATTTTCAGGGTGGGGGGAGAGGGGCGATGAAAATAAGCGTTCGGGGGTTTCTGAAAAGTGGGGATGAACTGGCGCTGTAGAGGCTTCAGAAGTGAGCAACCCTTAGGGCCTCTTCGAGATCAGAGACGTCGGTGTAGTCAGAGTCATCTGATACCACCGGTTCGGGTGTTGGGGGCCTTGCACGGTCGATACTTCTGGTGTACCTTCGCGGCCTGGCACTCAAGGCGCTTCCCGCGTCATTCGGGTTTATGGCATCTGTCAGCAACGTTCCGGTAGAGAATGACGTCTCTACAAAAGCAGGCGTAAAATGGATGTTGTATTTAAGGCAAAAGCGGTTAAAATCGGCCTAAGCGCGGCGTTCGTTGATTACGAATGACCATACACGAGGGACTCACGGTGTACGCGTCCGAAGCGGTATACCGTACATCCCAAACGCTTTTGACCCTTCTCGCAAGTGCACACACCAAGCGCTCATGGTTGCATGCACACGCTTTAGTCTTGTCGGCAAGTGCTTGTCCAGGTTGTTATTCCCGCTCTACCGGGGCAACAATCTGGCAGTGGGGATCGCTAAGAGAAACAAGCCTACTCTATGCAGCTAGCTGTTTGTTAGCGCCCGCCGATCGCTTTAGTGTTGGTTAGTAAAAGCATAATGAAGCGATAAACAGTGCAATAAACGTGCCGTCAGGTTTTATAAAGATCATGGACGCAGTTAAAGTGTGGGGCTTATGGTTTAGTGGGTGATGTGTCTGGGTTCATGCGGATCCATATTCAGTGTATAACCACCAGTCTCTAACGTGAACCTAGTTCAAGCCCTGTCAGATGTCAGGCCACTTTGAGCTCGCGGGTCTTATCCTTTTGATAGCAGACTCATACTCGCTATCGTTGACAGTAGCACATTTGTAGATGGTCCCTGCTTCAGCAATACGGAATTTAAACTGTGCAGTACTCAGGGAAAGGTGACTTAAACATTCGACTACAACTTTCACCATCACAGAAAGCATCCTCCTCCAACAAGATTTGAGAACGCACACAAACCGTCTGCAGTAATTAGATTTCATCCTCAAATGACAATCCGATTCGACTGTTTTACTGTTTTGGCCCTATCGTTGTAAACCCGATCTTTTAACTAGCCCTAAGGGGAATTCAGGTGATGCAAAATAAAGAGGTTGAAATGGCCATACCTAGGGTCCACGTGACCCACCGAAGACCGCATTCAGGTAATGCCGTACGATATGAGTATAATTTAGAGCGACCCCTCCCTATCGAAACCACACATAACCACGTAGGTCAAAGCCATCTAACACATGAACTACTTGCTGCAACAATTAATAGTCAGACCGGCCTGAACTAATGATAAATTAGTTGCTGCATGATGTACTAGCTAGTAGTCCCGACAGGTCACGTGTTTCACCGGTATTCCGCGGCTGCATGACACAGTTGCGAGGAGTTCTACTCATCAGTTGATGCCCACCGTTCCCCGTGGGCTTTCCGTTATTAGCTATTTAGCTAATTTAGCTATTTATTTGCCTATGAAATTAATGCGCCAATTCGACCTGATCCCATAAATTTTCATTTCGAATGATTTACTCTAAATTAAAGAATCTATTTCTTTGGAGATGGCGGTTTCATCGGAAACGTTTTGACCGAAAAAAATGAACCAACTATCTCGGTTTATATTAAACCAGCTCAAGCAATGATTGTCGGATTATAATGTCTTGGACCCGAAAAAACATGACATGGCGTAATCGTATTTCAGAACAAGGTTTTAACGATTCCATTCAGGCAGATTTTTACTTTATAGGTGTCGAGGATCCCTTGAATGTCTTCTGGTAGAATTAAGCATTCCCGTCCGAAACACCGAGCCGATGTATCTGCAATTCAAGAGCGAGGTACGACCGAAACTGATATTTCGCGGACGGCACTCTCCATTGTTAAAACGCTAACTGTAGGTAATTGATCAGAACCCGAACGGGTCCCGCAGAGCCGACCAAGCATTCCGAAAGGTCAGCACATGCATAAATTGACTCAGTTGAGCCCGCCTTAATTCTCATATTATCAACCCACATCTTTCAATTTCGTCATGATGAGTTATTGTCAAAAGAACACCACACAACAGATTGAGCGATATTCGTGGATTTTAACGCTCACGTCACCTTTATTCGCATCAACAAGGTAGAATGGACTTTTGATATTTGAGGCTAACTCACAAACCAAAGATTAGTCGAGCAATAATAAAATTATTTCGTCAGCCCGGACAGTGATAGCCGCACGAATATCCGGCAGGAGTATTTAATAAGAGGGCGTTCTAAGGTGTACTTTTACGCACAGGTTTTGAGCAGGTTCTAGTTGAGATGTGGGTGGGAAAAAGGCGGCTGCTTTCGGTACACCATTTGAGAATAGAGCGGGAAAACCAATCGCACACACACTGTATCTCTCAATCAGACAACAAAATATAACTAAAAAAAGTATACTACGGGTGCACCCACCAGGAGACTATTTTTATGTATCTAAGTGAGAAGGTTTTTTGAGGAGATGTACTTTACATGAGTAGGGATTGGGGAGCAGGCCATAAAATGCCTTTGGTGACTCATAAGCTTTTTGGGGAAAAAGCGAAATCCAAAACTCTGCCAGAGATAGATAGCAGTCTTAAAAGGGAATAATGATTAGGAAAAAGTGTCAGTGAAAACTATTAACTTAGTCTGTTTCCGATAAAAGTTCGCCTACAACTGGCCGCGGAAGGCGTGACCATCGCCAAAATAGGAAGCTGGAAAGGCATAGAAACATGAAGTACGTTGAATGAACATCTGCCGCAAAGTAGACACTGATCAC